CTTATGGGACTACTGTACCAGAGCTATCAATTGCGCTCTGCACTATCTGAGATTGTCTCACTAGTTTTTTGGAATGTTGTTACTACTGAAAATAATCGAATATGTATGTGTGGTAAATTGCGAACGATTTAATAGTTTCAGCCGGAACTAGGATTATATCTGCAGATCGAGGTATAAGATGGTGTGATTATGAAATATAGAGCCATGATTTCAAAGATTTCTGGGAAGCCACCAAAAATCTTGATCGCATAACAGAACTGTCTTCTGTGCTTTTTGGTGACATTTCTTACTCTTTCCTACCTTTTTCAGAAAGACAAGACATTGCTATTAATCATTATATTCTTTCTTAGTTAACATGGGGACTCCCACACAAAAGAAGTTTACATATTTTTTTGTTGTGGGGACTGTTTGAAATGCAGTGGATACAATACTCAGTCCCTAAATCTCTACCAAATGAAATCTGGCAAAAGTACCAAAATAGTACGGCGTTGACAAAACCTGGATCGGACCGGATCACGGATCGGATCACGGACCGGATCACGGATCGGATCACGGACCGGATCACGGATCAGATCACGGATCGGATCACGGATCGGATCAAGGAAAAAAAAAATCCAAAATTCAAAATTTTGTTGAGCAAATTACACTAGAGTGACTACTGTGAGCAGAAAGTTTTATTCAATTCAGGTGTGATATTCCTTTATTATTTTTTTATAGTATCAAGCCAACTGGGAGCTGGTCACAGATGAATTTTTTTCAGGCTGTTGGGTTTTGATTGCGATGAACAATAATGTCTTCATATCTTTCTCCGCAGTTCAACTATATGATATTTCGTATATTCACTTGCACTCTTCACCATCTACGGATATATTACGAACTCACAATGTGACCAACTCTCAGTTGGCTTGATATCTCAGTTGGTGGAGCACTGCACCGGTATCGCAGAGGTGATGGGTTCGAGTACCGTTCAGGCCTGAATTTTTTTCAGGCTTCAATTTCACGACGGCTTAAGTTGTGTGTATAATTGCATTGATCAATCATGTCTTCATATCTTTCTCCGCAGTTCAGATAAATGATATTTCGTATATTCACTTGCATCA